CGTGCACACTCCTCCCCCTCACGTGCACGCTCCTGTCTCGGTCCCTGGTCCCGTAGACGAGGAGGAGGAGCCCAGAGCCACAGGTAAAACACACAGACAAAACCCCAGAACCTGATTGGTCCGTTTGTATTGCAGTAGGAGGGCCTGGGGAAAGAAGGCGTCTGATTGGTCTGTTTGTATCGCAGTAGGAGGGGCCTGGGGGAAAGAAGGCGTCTGATTGGTCTGTTTGTATCGCAGTGGGAGGGGTCTGGGGGAAAGAAGGCGTCTGATTGGTCTGTTTGTATCGCAGTGGGAGGGGCCTCGGGGAAAGAAGGCGTCTGATTGGTCTGTTTGTATCGCAGTGGGAGGGGTCTGGGGGAAAGAAGGCGTCTGATTGGTCTGTTTGTATCGCAGTGGGAGGGGCCTCGGGGAAAGAAGGCGTCTGATTGGTCTGTTTGTATCGCAGTGGGAGGGGCCTCGGGGAAAGAAGGCGTCTGATTGGTTGGTTCTTGTTGTTCAGATCTGGATTTGGGACAAAATGTTGAAGTAAAACTCCAGGATCCTGTAGAAGGAAAAACACTTTTACACAAACTGAACAGAACTTTATTTTTTTTCGCTGTGAGTTTGTCAAACTTCAGGTTCAAGGGAAGAAAGACGAAAACTTAAAGTAAAACATGAACGTGGCTTTAGTGACTCACTGATCAGATTTTCAAAATAAAAGTCTGAGGCGTCTCTTATTTGTGGAGGTTGTGAAAATAAAATAATAAAATAACAAAATAATAATAAAATAATAAATAACAAAAAAATAATAATAAAATAATAAAAAAATAAAATAATAAAATAACAAAATAATAATAATAAAATAATCAAATAGTGAAATAATCAAATAATCAAATAGTGAGTGGAAGTAAAAGTGTCGTGCGTCAGGCTCTAGTCACTTTTTTTTGTGTTTTGTCGTGTTGAAGCAGATTTTCTAGATTTGACCCAAACGTCCTCAGGGTCAAAGGGCAAAAGTGAAAACGCTGATGTGAAATGAAAAGTTTCCTGAGTCGATCATAAAAACAGAGATAAAGAAAAGAGACGATAAACGACAAAACAACCTCAGGACTAAACCAGGACTAAACCAGGACTAAACCAGGACTAAACCAGGTCTAAACCAGGACTAAACCAGGTCTAAACCAGGACTAAACCAGGATTAAACCAGGTCTAAACCAGGACTAAACCAGGTCTAAACCAGGACTAAACCAGGTCTAAACCAGGACTAAACCAGGACTAAACCAGGTCTAAACCAGGTCTAAACCAGGACTAAACCAGGTCTAAACCAGGACTAAACCAGGACTAAACCAGGTCTAAACTAAACCAGGACCAGGTAAACCAGGTCTAAACCAGGTCTAAACCAGGTCTAAACCAGGACTAAACCAGGACTAAACCAGGTCTAAACCAGGTCTAAACCAGGACTAAACCAGGACTAAACCAGGTCTAAACCAGGACTAAACCAGGACTAAACCAGGTCTAAACCAGGTCTAAACCAGGACTAAACCAGGACTAAACCAGGACTACCAGGACCAATTTTGAAAAAACAATAATAATAATAGATTAAAGCTGCACTGTGTAACTTTTCTGGTTGTGCGTCCGTCTCCCTGAAACAAAACCAGACGTGATGAGTGTGAAACGGGGCTCGCCTCTCCACAGATCTGACCTGGAACACACTGGCACACTGCGGAACATTCCAGACGAGTCAATAACATACAGGGGAAAGGTGAAGGGACTTTAGTCCTGGTTTAGTTCTGGTTTAGTCCCGGTTTAGTCCCGGTTTAGTCCTGGTTTAGTCCTGGTTTAGTCCTGGTTTAGTCCTGGTTTAGTCCTGGTTTAGACCTGGTTTAGTCCTGGTTTAGTCCTGGTTTAGACCTGGTTTAGTCCTGGTTGGTTTAGATGGTTTAGAGTCCTGGTTTAGACCTGGTTTAGTCCTGGTTTAGTCCTGGTTTAGTCCTGGTTTAGACCTGGTTTAGTCCTGGTCCAGACAAAGCAGTAACATCAGCAGCAGAAAAGTGACAGAGTGCAGCTTTAAGGTGTTGGTCCGACTCGACTCCCAGTGTTTGTACAAATACTCGAGTAAAAGTTTGACTCATCGGGATTTTGACGCTTCACCTGAAACGAGGAATGAAACATCAGAACTTTAGAACTTTAGAACTTTAGAACTTTAGAACTTTAGAACGTTTGTGCGATTGTGGAGGTTTCATATTTAAGGTGGAATATTTAAGGTGGAATATTTAAGGTGGACTGACTCAGAGGATCCAGTTCCGTCACATTCCAGAGTCGCTCCGTCTGCCAGAGGAATGTGAAGGATTTAAGGTGGAACGAGTCTGATACAGAGAAGAGACTTTAGACCTGGTTTAGACCTGGTTTAGACCTGGTTTAGACCTGGTTTAGACCTGGTTTAGACCTGGTTTAGACCTGGTTTAGACCTGGTTTAGACCTGGTTTAGACCTGGTTTAGACCTGGTTTAGTCCTGGTTCAGTTCTGGTTTAGTCCTGGTTTAGTCCTGGTTCAGTTCTGGTTTAGTCCTGGTTCAGTTCTGGTTTAGTCCTGGTTTAGTCCTGGTTTAGTCCTGGTTCAGTTCTGGTTTAGTCCTGGTTCAGTTCTGGTTTAGTCCTGGTTTTAGTCCTGGTTCAGTTCTGGTTTAGTCCTGGTTCAGTTCTGGTTTAGTCCTGGTTTAGTCTGGTTCAGTTCTGGTTTAGTCCTGGTTTAGTCCTGGTTCAGTTCTGGTTTAGTCCTGGTTTAGTCCTGGTTCAGTTCTGGTTTAGTCCTGGTTCAGTTCTGGTTTAGTCCTGGTTTAGTCCTGGTTCAGTTCTGGTTTAGTCTTAAATCCATAATCTTCTGAAATCCGATGGACTAAACCAGGATTAAATTGGGACAAACCTAGAACCAAACCAGGACTAAGTGAGACCTGGTTCTTCTAAACGCTGTCGTGTTCTTCTTCCAGACGTGGAGGTGGAGGAACGTCTCATCGTCTCCGCCTCATCCCAGGACCAGATCCCCGTCTTCAGCCTGGAGACGGACCGGGACCGGCCCGCTCCTCCTCTGGACCTCCGCACGGCGACGGAACCTCCACCGGCTCCACAAACGCCCCAACATGAAACCAAAACCGAGCCTCCACAACGGCTTTCACCAAGAGACGATTCTGCTCCAGAACGTACGGAAATTCTCCAAGATTTGCCGAAAGAAAGCGAAAAATCTGCACAAAACATCGTCAAGGTCGAGAAATCCAAACCTGCTCCGCTCAAAATGCAAACTCCACCTGCCGCTTCCCCGCAGGACGAAGGAGAAACCGAAGTTCCAGGTTCCGAAAGCGTCTTATAAATTTGACCCAGAGAATTTAGATGAAAGTTTGGACCCGTTTTCCAGCGGAGGCTCGAAAATCCCAAACTCTCCTCCTCCGTTTGGGATGAAGGACGCGACGCCAGAACTGAACGCTGAAAAAGTCGAAAGCGAGGAGAAAAAAGAAACGAAAATGGACCAAAAAACCTTCAAATCGCCTTCGAAAAAACAGCAAACCAAAAAGGGCAAAGTTAAAAAGCAAAATTTGGAAGAAAAACCCGTAGAAGTTGCAGTAGAAGCGTCAAATTCCGATGAAACTGAAATCCCAGTTCCAAAAGTGTCTTACAAATTTGATCCGGAGAATTTCGACGAAAGTTTTGACCCGTTTTCCAGCGGAGGCTCGAAGATCCCGAACTCTCCTCCTCCGTTTGGGATGAAGGACGCGATGCCAGAGCTGAACGCTGAAATGAGGTCGGAAAAAGACGAAAAAGAGGAAACTAAACCGAATCTGGAGCAAAAAACTGTCTCCAAATCTCCTTCGAAAAAACAAGGAGCCAAAAAGTCACTGAGCAAAGTTAAAAAGCAAAATTTAGATACAAATTTAGACGAAAAATTTTCCACAAATCCTCCAGAAGTTGCTCCAGAAGTGCAGAATTCCGATGAAACAGAAATCCCAGTTCCAAAAGTGTCTTACAAATTTGATCCGGAGAATCTCGACGAAAGTTTTGACCCGTTTTCCAGCGGAGGCTCGAAAATCCCAAACTCTCCTCCTCCGTTTGGGCCGAACGACTCGATGCCAGAACTGAACGCCAAAAAAGACGAAACTGACGACAAAAGAGAAACAGAAACGGATTTGAATTTGGACCAAAAACCTGTTTCCAAATCTCCTTCGAAAAAAACGCAAACCAAAAAGACCAAAGTTAAAAAGGAAAACCTGGAAGAAAAATCTGTAGAAGTTGTCGTAGAAGCGTCAAATTCTGATGAAACCGAAATTCCAGTTCCGAAAGTGTCTTATCAATTCGACCCGGAGAATTTTGACGAAAGTTTTGACCCGTTTTCCAGCGGAGGCTCAAAAATCCCAAACTCTCCCACAACAACAGCTTCAGGTTCAGAAACGCCGAAACTAGAAGCTCAGTTTGAACCGGAGAAAGATTTAGAGAAAGACGAGACGAAACTGGGAGAGACGGATTTTCATTTGGACGAAAAATCAGCGCCCGAACCTTCTCCAGAAACACAAGCGACGAGTAACGATCAAAATCAAAAAGAGGAGGAGATTTTAGACGCAAACGTTGAATCTTTACTTTCAGAAATTCCTCACGAAACTACAAATTTTGACGATATTCCCATTCCAAAACCCGGGCGTTACAAATTTGACCCAGACAATTTCGACGATAGTTTCAACCCGTTCCAAAGCGGCGGCTCCAAAATCCCAAACTCGCCGACAACGACGTCACCACCGAAGCTGGACGCAAGCACGAAGGATTCCGACAAAAACGAAACGAAACCGGTCGTGTTAGAATTTGGATTAGACGAAGGAAAAGTGTCCAAACCTCCTTCGAAAAAACTGGGACCCAGAAAAACGGTGAGCAAAACGAAAAAAAAGGAAAAAGAAAAGCAAACTTCGGATGAAAAACAAGAACCTCCGAAATCTGAAATTCCCGAAGAAACGTCAAATCTGCCAACTTCTTCTTCACCAGCTCCTCTGAACTTTGACGATATTCCGATTCCCAAAACCGGGTCTTACAATTTTGACCCAGAGAATTTTGACGAAAGTTCTGACCCGTTTGCGGGTGGAAGCGCCAAAGTCCAAAACTCTCCTCCTGCGTCGTGCGGGACCAGCTCTTCTTTTACCAGTTTCGAAGACGAGAGTTTGAAAGCGAAACCGGTCCTGTTAGAATTCGGATTGGACGAAACCGAAACGGCGACCAAACCTCCTCCCAAAAAAGTAGGAGCGAGGAAAACCATCGGCAAAGTTAAAACTCAAAAAAACAAAAGCGGTGAGGAGAAACCGGACACGAAACCGACAGAAATCAGTCGAGAGGAAGAACCATCGAACCCGCCGAAGTCTCCCTCTCCGCCTCCGCCAAATCGACGACATTCCCATTCCCAAATCAGGATCTTACAATTTTGACCCTGACAATTTCGACGATAGTTTCAACCCGTTCCAAAGCGGAGGGTCCAAAATTCCGAATTCGCCGACCAGCAAAACGATTCCAGAATCACATCAGCAACAAGAAGAAGAAGAAGAAAAGACAAAACCGCCTCCGAAAAAACTGGGACCACGAAAAACGTTCAACAAAGGCAAAACCGCGAAACCGAAAATCCCAGAGGAGAAACCGGACGCACAACCTGAAGTTAAAGCTCCAGAAACTCCCAAAGAGGTTCCCTTAAAGCCGTCGTCTCCGCCTCCTTCGGTCACGGACGATGTTCCCAAAAGCGGGTCGTACGATTTGGACCCGAGCTGCTGGGACGACCCGGCGTTCGACCCGTTCGGAGGAAAAGGAAGTAAACTCGGAAAGAGCAAAACCTCGTCCGGGTTTGACCCAGAGAAAAGCGAGGAGGCGGCGGAGCAGATCGAAGCCTCCAAAAGTCTGAGAAACGACGAAGAGGAAGAGAAACACAGGTGAGTCTGGACTTCGGAAGGTCGTGTTTTTTTTTTAGCTTTTAAAACTAAAGAACAGACTCGATACTCGATACTTGATACTTGATACTTGATACCGATTCTGATCCCACGATGAAAATTAAACCGTCTTTGTTTCGAGTAGAGTTGTTCTGATGTTGCCTCCGATCAGAAACGCTGATCTTCTGTCGGTCGAGTTCACCTAAAAACTCTGCAGGGATTAAACTGTAAATTAAATCAGATCCACGAGTGCGTAAAGATTCAAATGAGTCTGCGGAAAGTTCTCCACGATTCTCCTCCGTCCAGGAAACGGCCGAGAACCGAAACCAAAGCACACACCGGTCAGAAGTGTCGCTCAGAAGTGTCGGTCTGAACATTTTTCCCGGTGGTGGGTCAGTTTTCTGCTTCTCTCCGTGGAAACTGTCCTGGAAAAAACGACAAATCTCTTGATGAGAAATAAAAAGACAAAGGTTTCTTCAGGTTCCAGCAGACGTGGACCGAGCCAGTCCGTGTGTCGTTCCTTCATTTGTTTTTCAAAACTAAATAACAACAGTTTTCTTTCATTATTTGTCTCCAAAACCAAAATGAAAAAACAGATAATGATTCGTTTTTTCAGTTTTTGATTTTGGGTTTAAATGAAAAATGGAAAAAAACAGATAACGACCGTTTCCCGTTTACGTGACTTCAGTGACTGAACCAGGACTGATCCAGGTCCGGGACCAGAGCGGGACTGAAACCGGGACCCCAGACCTGAACTGAGACCTGAACTGAGACCAGACCGAGACTAGACCGAGACTAGACTGAGACTGAGACTAGAACCAGGATCTGGAGCTGGTCCCACTGACAGGTGTAACCCAGAGACACTGAGGACGGATCAAACACAGGTGTGACCTCTGTCGGCTCCGTCCACTGGCCCCGCCCACTGTCGGCCCCGCCCACTGTCTGCCCCGCCCACTGCCCCGCCCACTGTCTGCCCCGCCCACTGTCACTCAAACATATAAGACGTCTGTCCTTCTGCAGCTCCACTGTGGATCTGATCTGATACTACAGTAACTGCAGTACAGATACTACAGTAACTGCAGTTACTGCAGTACTGATACTACAGGTACTACAGTACAAATACTACAGTAACTGTAGTACTGAGTAACTGCAGTACTGATACTACAGTAACTGTAGTACAGTTTGCAGTAGTGATACTAATACTTTTCCACTCGTCTTTTGTCTGTCGTGTCTCTGCTGCTCCAGGACTCACCACCAGGGGGAGTTCCTCTGTCTGCTCTTGTAAGTACAGTCTGCCTCCTCCTCCTCCTCTTCCTGTCATCCCTCTCTCTTTATCTTCTTTATCTCTCCTTTTCTCTTTCTTCCTTCTCTCAGATCTAACAGATCTCAGGTTTTCTTATTTTTTTTAAACTTGTTTTCGTCTCTTCAAAAGGATCTGAGACACAAAACCTGCTCAGTGTTTGTTCCTCTGGACCAGAGTCTCCTCACCCTGAACCCTGAACCCTGAACCCAAACCCTGAACCCAAACCCTGAACCCAAACCCTGAACCCAAAACCCAAACCCACCCTGAACCCAAAACCCTGAACCCAAAACCCTGAACCCAAAACCCTGAACCCAAACCCTGAACCCTGAACCCTGAACCCAGAACCCAGAACCCAGAACCTGAACCCAAACCCTGAACCCAAAAACCCTGAACCCAAACCCTGAACCCAAACCCTGAACCCAAAACCCTGAACCCTGAACCCTGAACCCTGAACCCTGAAACCTGAACCCAACCCTGAACCCAAAACCCTGAACCCAAACCCAAAACCCTGAACCCAAAACCCTGAACCCAAACCCAACTGAACCCTGAACCCTGAACCCAAACCCAAAACCCTGAACCCAAACCCTGAAACCCAACCCTGAACCCTGAACCCAAACCCTGAACCCTGAACCCAAAACCCTGAACCCAAAAAACCCTGAACCTGAACCTGAACCCAGAACCCTGAACCCTGAACCCAGAACCTGAACCCAAACCCAAACCCTGAACCCAAAACCCTGAACCCAAAACCCTGAACCCAAACCCTGAACCCAAAACCCTGAACCCTAAACCCTGAACCCTGAACTCTGAGAAAAGTCAAGAGATGATTCCCAAAAAAAAGAAGAAAAAAACACTACCTCATCATTTCTGTTTTTAAACCAGGACTAAACCAGGTCCACACTTGGTCTGTGACGGTTGGACTCACTGTGTTTTTGTGTTTTTGTGTTTTCAGGAGTTCGTGTAAAGTCCCGCTGCACTCGGAGGAAACTCAGGACCTCACACAGGTACCACAGGACACTCAGGTCAGGGGTCAGGTCGGGGTTTGGGTTTGGTAGGTTGAGATGTTTTGAGGTTTTGGATGTTCTGGTTGTTTTTGGTGCGTCGGTGTTTTTGCGTTCTGAGCGCAGTACCTGTGTGCTCCTGCAGGAGGAGGTAGTGATCCGGACCCCGGAGATCACGCAGAGAGAACATCACGCCACAGATGAAGAGAAGCTGGCCTCCACCGCGGTGAGGAGCACCAGCGAGGGAGGGCATCTGGAGCACGAGGGGAGGACCAAAGAGGAAGGTAAAAACCCCAACCAGGTCCATCAGTGAGAAATGTCCTCACAATCTGTTCCTCAAACTGTTCTCCTCAGATGTTTCCCAGGTTCTAGTCGTTTTTCCTCAGATGTTTCTCCAGGTTCTAGTCGTTTCTCCTCAGATGTTTCTCCAGGTTCTAGTCGTTTCTCCTCAGATGTTCCTCCAGGTTCTAGTCGTTTCTCCTCAGATGTTTTCCTCCAGGTTCTAGTCGTTTCTCCTCAGATGTTCCTCCAGGTTCTAGTCTTTCTCCTCAGATGTTTCTCCAGGTTCTAGTCGTTTCTCCTCAGATGTTTCTCTTCTAGTCAGTTCTAGTTCTAGTCGTTTTCTCCTCAGATGTTCTCCAGGTTCTAGTCGTTTCTCCTCAGATGTTTCTCCAGGTTCTAGTCGTAGTCGTTTCTCCTCAGATGTTCCTCCAGGTTCTAGTCGTTTCTCCTCAGATGTTTCTCCAGGTTCTAGTCGTTTCTCCTCAGATGTTCCTCCAGGTTCTAGTCGTTTCTCCTCAGATGTTTCTCCAGGTTCTAGTCGTTTCTCCTCAGATGTTTCTCCAGGTTCTAGTCGTTTCTCTCAGATGTTCCTCCAGGTTCTAGTCGTTTCTCTCTCAGATTCTCAGTTCTAGTCGTTTTCTCAGATGTTTCTCCAGGTTCTAGTCGTTTCTCCTCAGATGTTTCTCCAGGTTCTAGTCGTTTGTTCTCCAGTCTAGTCGTTTCTCCTCAGATGTTCCTCCAGGTTCTAGTCGTTTCTCCTCAGATGTTCCTCCAGGTTCTAGTCGTTTCTCTCAGATGTTCCTCAGATGTTCTCCTCAGATGTTCTCAGGTTCTAGTCGTTTCTCCTCAGATGTTTCTCCAGGTTCTAGTCGTTTCTCCTCAGATGTTTCCTCCAGGTTCTAGTCGTTTCTCCTCAGATGTTTCAGGGCAGGGGCAGGTTTAAACTTCAGGTGTGAAATAAATCGAGGTCTGAACCTTAGAATTTAAAGTATCTGAGGAGGCTTCAGTTGGATCCAGATCTGCACAATAAAAACACGACCTGATGTGGTTCTGTTCTGATGTTCTCTGAAGGTTCTGGGAGCCCAGCGCAGAAGGACGGCGCCCCCTGCTGGACCAAACAGGACCTGGTGAGTGTGAGAAGAACAAACAACTCCTCTTCAGAGTAAAACATGTTTGAAATCCTGTTTGTGCTTTTACTTTGAAAGGACGAGGTCTCCATCTCGGAGAAGATCCTGGTCCAAAGTCCTGGTTTAGATCCTCAGACCGGACTTCCTCTGAGCGAGATGGACAAGGCCGCAGTACTCACTCTGATCAGGGAGGAAGTACGTGTACTAATACTTCTACTACTAACTAATACTACTACTACTACTACTACTACTACTACTACTACTACTGCAACTACTACTACTACTACTACTACTACTACTACTACTACTACTACTACTACTACTACTACTACTACTACTACTACTACTACTACTACTACTACTACTACTACTA